TATATATGTGAGATAACATTAAGTGGTCTTGCTATGCAAGAACGCTTAATAATAATAATATATATGTGAGATAACATTAAGTGGTCTTGCTATGCAAGAACACTTAATAATAATAACTAGAAAAGCTACAATTTCTGGGGAAATTGTGTGAAGTGTTCTTGCCTCCACCAGTAGTCTACAACTGGAGTGGGTGGAGTAACTATTATCATTTATATAGCACATTTAATTGCAACGTTGTTGCACAGTTACATTAAACCATACATTTATAAAAACATTAGCAGGTGTTCAAAAGGCCCTGTCTATGACATCACTTGCTGCTGCAGCTTGACACAGGTCAGAGTATTTTGGTGGTTGCCATCTTCAAACGGTCGTATCTTAAAAACTATAACTCCTACAGTGAAGAGCTTTATATTGTGAGAATCACAAGACCCAGACCTACATTTGATGCATAGTATGTCTCTGAAGTATTAAAATTGAAGGCACAGTCGCAGTTTAGAAATTGCACTTCAAATTTGAGCTTTGCAGAGTGAAGTTTCAATGAATGTCAATGGACGGCGTTGGTTGCAAACAAATGGTCATATTGTGAAAACTATCAGGACTACGGCTTAGCCGTTGACATGTTAGTGGCAGCAGGGATAGCTGAACGTTTTGATATAAGATTTGTGTAGGTGGGCCTGAAAATAAGGGAGTGGTGGCAGTTTAGAAATCATGTCCTGATTTTTTCAGCTTTTGCCAGCTCCCACTCTAGCTTTGCCATTCATTCCTATGGGACAAATTGCGCCACAAAAACGACGATATTCCGTGAACCATTCGGCGAAACGTTCCACAAAGTAATAGCAATCCGATCGGGAACAATCTGCGCGTTTTGGTAAATTTTTGTCTATGTAGTGTAAAAACTGTGGGAGGAGTTAGGGTGGCAAATTTTGCTATAATAAGAATAATAATAATAATAATAATAATAATATATATGTGAGATAACATTAAGTGGTCTTGCTATGCAAGAACACTTAATATATATGTGAGATAACATTAAGTGGTCTTGCTATGCAAGAACACTTAATAATAATAATATATATGTGAGATAACATTAAGTGGTCTTGCTATGCAAGAACACTTAATAATATATATGTGAGATAACATTAAGTAGTCTTGCTATGCAAGAACACTTAATAATAATAATATATATGTGAGATAACATTAAGTGGTCTTGCTATGCAAGAACACTTAATAATAATAATAATATATATGTGAGATAACATTAAGTGGTCTTGCTATGCAAGAACACTTAATAATAATATATATATATATGTATATATATTATTGATACATTTCTTCTTTCAGGGTAATTAAATTATACAGTAAAGCATACTCTCACACAGACACAGACAATCTTACTGATGCACACAAATAGGCTCATTGGCAGACAATCTCAATGACAAACACAGACAAGGTTACTGGCACACACACAAATTTAGTACAGACAATATCTGATGCACACACAAGCTTACTACAGACAGGCTCACTGTCACACACACGCTCACTACAGACAAGCTCACTGATGCGCACACACTCTCCCTACAGACAAGCCCATTGACACACACATGCGCCCTACAGAAGAGCTCACTAACACACAGATTCACTACAGACAAGCTCACTGACACATACATGCTCACTACAGACAAGCTGACTGACACACACATGGTCACTACAGACAAGCTCACGATCACACTCATGCTTACTACAGACAAGCTCACTGTACACACATGCTCACCACAGACAGGCTCCAACACAACCATGCTCCTTACAGACAAGCTCACTAACACGTACACACACATATGATCCCTACAAACAAGCTCACTGATACACATACAAGCTCACTCACTAGCAGGTGCAAACACACAGAGGCTCCCTCACTAGCAGATGCACGCACACACACACATACACACACAGAAGCTTGCTCGCTCACTCACTAGCAGATGCACACACACACAAAGACATCCATACACACAGAGGCAGACAGTCACTGACACCGAGGTAAACATCCACACATACAGAGACAGGCAGACAGCCACACACATACACAGGCAGACAGTCACACACACACAGTTACACACAGGCAGACAGTCACACACACACAGTTACACAGGCAGACAGTCACACACACAGGCAGACAGTCACACACATAGGCAGAAAGTCACACACATAGGCAGACAGTCACACACACACAGGCAGTCAAACACACACAGTTACACCGACAGTCACACACGGACGATCACACACGACAGTCACACACACACACACACACACACACACACACACAGGCAGTCAGACACACACACAGGCAGTCACACACACACAGACAGTCACACATACACACAGTCACACAGACAGTCACACACACACACAGGCAGACAGACACACACACACAGATAGTCACACAGACACACTGACCTCCTTCTTCCCTCCTGCTTGGAGCTCCTGGAGGCTGGTTGTTGGGGAAGCAGGGACTCCTTCCTGCTTCCCATGCTGCATTAGCCAGGGCCCACGCCACACGCTAAGCCCCGCCCCGCCGCACACTAAGCCCCACC